TCTCCTCTTTCCTTAAGTCCTTTCCTTTTTAATGTCCTGCCTCCTTGTTTCCTTGATTACTCCACATTTATTCTGTTTTTTCTCTATTTCCTTCCTTTATTTCCTCTCCCTTTTCCTATCATTTTTGGCTCCTTCCTTTCTTTTTTCTTCCTTTATTCCTTTTTATATTTTCTACCTTTTCTTCTTTCTCTTTTAGTTTTTTTCCTTTATTTCTTTTCTTGTCTTAATCCTTTCTTATATGTCTTTCCTCATCCTGTACCATCTTATCTCCTTTCTTCCTTCCATCCTCTCTTTCTTTTTCGCTCTGTCTTTTCCCTTCTTTATTTTTTCTTCCTTTTTTTCTGTTTTCTATTATTTCTTCACTCGTTCTCTTTTTCTATCTCACTATTTTCCCCCTCATTCAACTCTCTTTCTTCCTGACTCGGTTTCTCTTTTTGCTCCTCCTCATTCACTCCCTTGTTCTCCTTTTTTTCTTCTTCTTCTTTTCATCTTCCCTCCTTTCTTTTCTTCCTTCTTTACTTCCTTTTTATCACTCTTTCTGTGTCTTATTGATCCCTTTGTTAGTCTTTTATTTTGATTTTGTCCCCATTTTTGTCCCACTAACCTCCTTATTATTTCATTTTCTTCTCTCGATTCATCCCCTTTTCTCTCTCTCTTTTTTCAGTCTTTTCTTCCTCTTTTTCCCCTATTATTTCTCCTTCACCCTTTCATCCCTCTCTTTCCCTTCTCGTCGCTCTCCTCTCTTCCTGTTGCTCTACTTTTTTCAACCTTTCACCTTTTCTTCCTTTTCCTCTTTTTGTTGTTTCACTCTTTTGTGTCTTTTTGACCCTCAAAGTCTTCTTTCGTCTCGACCTGGTAGTTTTTTCCCCTCCGTCCATTCATGGTGCATTTCTTCCTTTATTCTTGCCTTCTCTTTTCACTTTTCATCAACACTTCATCCTTTCAGCTCTCCTTTTCTTTTGACAAACCTCTCCGACCTTTTGGTCCCCTCTCTTTTTCTTTACAGCTCCTTTTCTTCTTTCCTCTTTTTCTCTGACCGTCAACAACTTTACTGTGATATTTGTGGAAAAACTAGAGTTGCGAATTAAACTCGACTAATGGATGTAATCATCGTCCTTTACGCGCCACAAAGTTTGGTTTTCTCCAAGCCAGCAGAAGAGACTGATTTATAAAACCGATGTTTGTGGTGCTTTTATTTTGATATTTCTACTGTCTTGCTTTAGGTTTGCTTTGTTTCCTGTATTTTTAAACTGATGCTTTTATTTTGAAATAAATTACACTTTAAAAGTTTAGAAGCTGAAAACAGTTAAAAAGAAAGTACAGAGTACTAATGAGGAACTGTCTGGAGGAAGGAAAGTTAAAAAGATGGAGGGTGATGTAACATAAAACGGAAATGAACGAATGAAGGAAGAAAAAGGACAAACGGGTGGATAAAAACAGGAGGAGGGAGAAAAAAGAAGGGAAAAAAGAAACGAAGCAAAAACAAAACAAAACAAGAGAGTATATGAGGAGAAAAGGAGGCAGAGTAAGGGAGGAAAAGCAGGAAAGGAGACAAGAAAAATAGGAGTGAGTAAAAAGAAAGAGGGATGATTGAAGGACTGATAGAAAACAAATAAAAAGAAGAAATCACTCAGTCTCCCAAAGCGGGAAAAATGCTCAAACTGTTCGCCTCTATTTAGCTACAGATAAAAGAGTCGTAACGACTGTAATCAGAGGCAGGAAGCGCCCCCTGCTGGCTGAAAAGAGCCCTGACATTCATTTCTTCTCTCGCTGATTTGAATCATCTCTTGTTTTCTGACTTTGACGTCTTCATTCACCTCTGTGTCCTTTCTTTCTTTCATGTTCCTCCTCCCTCCTTGATTTTTCTGCTCCCTTCTTCTTCAAACTCTTGTTCCCTTCCTTTTTCTCCTCATCTATTTTCGGTTCACCCTTCACTCTTTCTTTCATTCTTTCCTCCTTCACTTCCTGATTACCTCCTTCCCTCTCGGCCTCTGATTACACATCCTAGCCCCCTTTCATCCTTTATTTCCTCCATCCTCTACACCTCGCCTTTTGTCCTTTCTGCTCCTTTCATCTTAGACTCCTCTCCTCCCATCTCCTTTTTTTTACTTCTTTTCTTTTATTTCATCTCCTATCTTCCTCCTTTGTTTTCCTTCTCTACTCTGTCTTTCCTTTCTGCTTCTCATGTCTCTCTTTTCTCCATTCCTCCCTCTTTCATTCATCGTCTCTCCTCCTCCTCTTCTTCTTCTTCATTCCTTCGCTCCCTCCCTCCCTCTTTCATCCAGGTCGTTCATATCTGCACATTTTTCCTCCTCCTCCTCTTTTTATCGCCTCGCTCCATCGGCCTCTGTGAATGGATGCCCAAGAACAAGGAGATGAATGGACTCACATTCATCCTTCGGTGTGTTTCATCACGCTTGGACATGACTCCCCCCTCCTCCCCCTTTGCATCCCGCCCTCTTACACACACACACACACACACACATGCGTACGCACACACACACGCAGTCAGACGTTCTCCTTCAGCATATCTGATGCAGCACTCGGCCTGTGTCAACAGTGTGGAGGAGAAACTAAGTGGATCAGCCGCCTACAGTGTCAGATCAGGACCGATAGGTGTACGAGGAGGAAGAGGAAGACGAAGAGAGAGCGAGAGAGAGAGAAAGGAGGGGAGGAAGAAAAGATAAGAAAGGAGCTGAAGAGAGGGAAACGGAGGAGAAACCGACAGAGCAGCACAAAGAGAGAAAGATGCGCATTTAGCAGCAGATCAAAGATGGGTTTGAAGGTGTGAGGTGAAAGGAAAGGATGAAGGAAGGATGGACAGAAGGAGGTAAGACAAGGTGTTAGAGGATGGTGATGGTGGAAAGGAGCCAGTGGAAGGGATCAGGGAGAGACAAGATGCTGCAGCGTCAAAGTTAATCGATGCACGCCGAGTTCACATATGTCATTCAGAGGAGGAGGCTTCACAATGTCAGGGGCGCGTGGGCCGCCAGCAGGCGAGGACTCGACGTGAGTAACGGGTGACAAAACAAAGGGCAAAGAACGAGGAAACACACGAGACAACATCCTGTTTCAGTTCACAACAAACAAACACAGACGGGGACCGGCAGGACCTGGTTTTACAGAAATACCTGACTAAGACTAAGACCGGCATCACAAAAATAAACTGAAATAATAAACGGGGTGCCCCAGGGCGGCACTCTGGGACCACTTCTGTTTACAACTCATCACAACAGAATTAACCCCAATGCAAATGTTTCATTTTTATGCTGATGATCCTGTTATTTACTGCTCTGCTACACGAGGCTCTCTGTCACTTAGAAGATGCTTTTGATGCTGCAGGAAAAACTTTTCTGAGCAGGTTTGATTTTCAGAAATTAGATTAAAAATAATTTCATTTAGACAAAAGGAATAAAGAGAGTCAGAGTAAAGAGATGTGATTTTGAAAACCTTTGGCTAAAACCTAAAATCAAAAATGAGGAAATCAAGGCAGACAATCTGTGAGGTCTATGAATAAAAGCAAAACTTCCCCCAAATCAAAACAGTCAAATTTTATGTATACAGCGCCAAATCACAACCGTTGTCATCCCAAGACGCTTTCCAAAAAAGGAAATTTAGAGCACGCTCATTTTTTGATGAATTATCAAGACCCAACCTTAAGATGGGACAGATTTGACCCATCTCATCTATCATGAGTGATAGTGGAAAGTAAAGACTTCCTTTTAACAGGCAGAAACCTTAAGCTGGACCAGACTCACGTTAGACAGCAGCCTTCACATCCAGAAAAGCGAGGGGCTGCTGCGAGTTTTGCTTGCGTCATCACAACATCTGATTCGGTCGTGTTGTTTCGGTGATAAAAGTCTTTCGGTCGAACACCAGAAATGCACCAAATTGGATCGATCGTAGCTGATCGTAACCGTTCAAGTTAATGTGTCAAAAAATTTGCCTCATAAACAGATCCGGTAGGAATTGGCGTACGGCAAAAATCGCCGCCGTTCCGGATGCGGTGGAAATCCTGGGTTAGTGAACACGCCTTGCAGAGCGGTCCGTTTTTTGTGTTTTAAGTGATTCATGTGATCGTCTATCAAAGATTAATGATGTCTTTCCAGGTCTAAATGATATATCCTACAGCCCTAAACTCAAACGTTAGTCCTCCCTGAATATCTGGGTGTCTAATGACCTGAAGTTCATCAATCCAGTGATAACCAGGACCGCGCATCCAGCCTCTGAGTCTTTGATTTTAATCAGCACAGAGAACAATGCGCACAAAAAGAGTCTCCTCTCGGGGCGCCGCTGCTTCTCCGCTAAACAAGCTTCATTATTTTTCAGCGTTTCCTTCTTTGTGGTGTACTTTATGGTCGACACAGAGCCAGGGATTAGGGGGAAAAGAGTGAATGACATGCAGATTTAAAACCAGGACATCTCATTTACACGCTGCATTATACTCCTCGACCAGCAGACACTGACTGTTTTATGAACATAAAATGAGAAAGTGATGAGACTCTTGCGTAACGCAGAAAGCTGCAGCTTCTAAGCGGACATAAATTCAGATTCAGCCGCCGTTTCCTGCTCTCACACATGAGGTATGATCACAGGGACACAGGAGGAAAGGTGGAAAGGTGTCTGGTCTCAGCGTGTAGGGAGGAGCTGCTCTTCATCTTCACTTTCTCTCTCTGTCTGGGTCAGGTGTCATGCTAATCCCTCACATGGGATTAGGCAGCCACATCAGATATTCGGAGGAAATGTGTGAGGGATCAGGTGAGGAACGAAGGGAGGAGAGAGGAGGAGGCGAGGAGGAACAAACAAAAGGACATCCAGCAGAGCGCTCTGGAATTGGAGTGAACTAACCAGGGGCTCACCGGACCGGCCTGTCGCTGTAAATCTACATCAGCGGATTAACGCTGCTCCAACCTGCTGAGGAGGAGGAGGAGGAGGAGGAGGAGGTAGAGAGAGGGATCTGCTGTGTGCACCTGTAACCCCACCTGATGTAGCGCTCCGAGACAAGGGCAGCGAGGAGCAAGAGAGGGCGAGCGCTGGGGAGGAGGAAGGAAGGAAAGCAGATCTGTTGCATCACCTGAGGATTGTTTTGCCTCCTTCTGCCCTTTTTTTCCTTCCTCCTTCTCTCCTTGCCCTCTGTTTGCTCTCTCCTTCCTTTCTCTCCTCTGCCGCCATCCCGTCAGCTCAGCTCAGCTCAGCGTCGGCCGACTATTACCCTACAGCCACGGTACATTTCTGACTTTGTAGGCTATTAGCCCGCAGCCCGCCCTGAATCCCCTCCTCTCCTAAAATCCCGGCTGAATATTGTTAGAGGAGCTTTCAGAGAAGGAGGCACAAGAAAAGAGTCCCTCTATCAGGGGCTCAGGGCTCAGCTCAGACCACATCCCTCCCCCACGCCGCCTCTCAAAGCTGCAGTGGCTGCGGCGTAGTGAATGTAATGTAGTCAATTAGGCAGGGTTCGAATCCCTGCACAAGCCCGGCGGGGCAAACTGGATGAGTAACACTTTTCCCCTTCACTTAAAGACCAGTGCAGAGGTACAGGCACGCAAGAACTGAGCCCCCAGCTGCTTCCTGGCTCACAGAGGTTAGACTGAGCCGAAGAGAGAAGGGCTGGAGTAAAAGTGAAGGGAGCGCATGAAGCAGAACCTCCACATAAAACCTCCCATGATGCAGCAGGACACCGTTATATCGGAATCAGAGATGGGCACAGGTCCAATCTATCAATCCTAATCAAGTCTTTTACAGTTTGACAACAAATCATAAAACTATGAAATCTGTTGTATATATACCAGATTGGTGTAAGTATAAGCCTGTGATCAAATGTAGCAGCAGTAGAAGAGCTCAGAAATGTAGATGATCTAGACAGACATGCTTTGGTAAACATCAAAAATAGAATTTTTTTTTCTCTACTTATTAATCTTTTTATTTTATTTTCTTAATTAATATCAGCAAAAATAATCAGGATTATTATCTTTTGCCATGATCAAATACAAGCTGACAATAAAGCAACTTGCGATAAAATCCACTCGCTTTGTGAGACCGGCAGCTTTTGGAAATCCAGGTTTCTTTCTGTCCCACAGAGAGGATCCGTTAGGGCCGGGCGATACGGCCTCAAATCAATATCACGGTAAATTGAGTCGTTTACCCCAATAAATAGATGATAACTACTACACAAGCTGCTCACCCCCTCCCACATGAACTTCGTCTCCATCCCCTCACCTCATCTGGATGGGGTGGAGTCACGTCTCTGATGTAGGACAGCGTCTTAAAGGGACATGAGACCAAAGCCTACCTACACACATCCAAACCCAACTTTTATTTATCTATTTTTTTGACACAGAATATATTGACATTTTTATAGGAAATTTCGGTATCAGTAAATTTTCGCTTTCGCTATTTTAAAGTCTAGATCCAGTCCCTCAAAACTGAAGCTAATCTGTGATGTTTTATGTGTTATTTTTTTAGATATATGGCATCATTTCTGTCTCTAGCAGACTATTCGAAATAAATGAGCATCTTTTTTCCATTCTGTGGTCTAATCGGAGACTTTTCAGAAACCCATCTGCTCTAAATACAGAAACATGAATCAGTCTGAGATAAACAGGACTAAAATAAACGACCAGAATATCAAACTGGGATTTTAAACATGAAACCTGCAGGATCTGAACAACCAAATAGCTGTTATTGGACTTTAAACTGAAACTGAAATGAGACTAAGAGTCGTCTGTAACTTTTTCAGACTTTAAAAGCGTATAAGACCCTACAGTATCTTACATTTCCAGAGGGCTCATGTGGATCGGGGTTTCCAGAGGTTTTAAAGGCTTTCCTGACTCTGTCTCTCTGATGGAACTCGCTGCATCGATCTCTGCGTCCACTTTTGAATCAAAGCTGTCATTTTGCCCACGGCAAGCGGGACACTTGTGTAATTTGTGTCACTGCGGATAAAGAGACGTCCAGAAGAAGCAAAATAAGCAGTTAGAGCCCAGAGTCAGATTTACAGCCTGATCAATACGCAGATTTGGCTTTTTCATTAAATGGTCATAAGATTTAAAAAAGTCGATGAGGCAGCGGACCTCTTTGACCCAGAAAGCCCACTGCAGAGGATCAGACGGACACAGATTTTATACCTAATTGATGCACATTTCGGACATTTAAAAGACGATTTTAACTAAAAAAATGGATCCTGACAGGAAGGGAAACAAGGATGTGAAAACTTCATCGCAGATTTCACTGCAGAGCCGTGACTCTGTATTTAGGTCAAGTTTTAGAGCCATGCTGGGAAATGACCCCGGGGGATAAAAATACAGCTTTATTTCACTCTACTGTAAGTTATGTGCTGAGGAAAGTGAAATACAAGAATATTCATGCTAATGTGGAGCCAGAATGAGTCACAGCAGGAAACAAAACAACTGCGGCGTCTCAGCTTCACTGTTTAATTCAAGCCTGATGCATTAATAATAATCAGGTGTGAGGCCGTTTCTTCATCTACAACAGGGTACACACGACCAGATCAGCGTGCCAGCTTCAGACCTGGGGCCTGTTCTACGAAGCAAGTTCAACCTAGCGAGGTAGCCTTGGAACTACCTGAAAACTCTTGCGTGCCGGAGTGCTCCTCGGACAACGCGAGCACCGAGGTCTATAGGATCCTCCAAGAACAGACAAGCCGTTTTTCGAGAGAGCTCATTGGTCAGTGGGCGGGGTTTTTATACTCAGTGAGTTTAATCTGGAACCTAACCTGCCCCAGAGCAGGTTAGCCGTTCAGCGTATGTTGCCATGGAGACTCGCCTCGCTAAGAAGTGAACCCGCATTGTAGAACAGGAAATCCCGAACTTACCCTCGAAGTTACCTTGGCCCCTGATCCCCCCCGCTCCTGATGGCTTTACAGATTATCAACAACTGGATCAACAGGGAAGACAATCGCAGCTGTAAATACCAAACATGATCAATATTTACAAAAAGCCAAACACACACTGGAATGAAACAATCGACAATTTGTGAGCAAGAAGGAGGAGGAGCAAAAGCAGCCACGACAACGACAACAAACGCAAAGCTTAGACAGATGTCAGAAATACAGAATCTAGTTTGTACGATCAAATATACCAAAATTTGTGGATAAAGGATGATTTCAAAGCACATTCACTCACTAAAAGTAACAGAAAACTAACTCCGATAACTTTTCCCAGCAAAAACTCCAGAAACAAAAGCCTAATTTTTCAGATTAATTACAGCTCAGCCTTTCAGCGTCATTGTCCAGTTCGAACAGACGATAGCTGTTCAGTTCCCAGTGAATGAAAAGAGAAGCAGGCCTTACCTGAAACCCTCCAGGTGAGCTCCTGTAGGTTTCCACAGTTTGTTCCTCCACCTGCTCAGCTCTGCTCTGCTCTCACAGTGAGCTCCGTTTGTTAAAATTCAGCGTGAATTACTGCGATTTCTTCTTGCAGTCGTCAGAGGAAAGTTTAGATTCAGTAAAAAGTTGTGGAGGGGGAGAGATTCTTCTTCCTTTCTCTTCTTCTGTTCATCTTCTTGTAAGTTTAAACTTGGTTAGCAACCTGCTCTGGGATGCATGTCTGCCCCCTGCTGGAGTGGAGTGCAGAGTAGCATATTTATTCCACTTTTATCATTCCTGTTATTTTGAATTTTCCCATAATCCATTTGGCTTCTGAAAACCAAGAAATACTTTTATTTACCACTCCAAGACTTCCTCGCAGTGAAAAAAACAAAACAAAACATGCTTTTAAGGGTCCTCTTTGGAGGAGGAGCTTTTTTAAGGAGAAGCAGGAAGTAGGCGGAGCTTGTTTTCTTCCACCACCTGCATGAGGTCTGGGCTTTCAACTGGAGACAGTGAAAATGTGAGTTCCTTTCTTTCGTTTTATGGATTTGCGTTTGCTTAAGATGAGGCTCTGAGGCTTTCTTTCAATCTGATACGAAGTTTGAGGCTTTAGCCTCAGAAACCGTGTGGATTCAAGAGGTCTGGTCAGTCTGTGAGTCTAAGCTCAAGGTAAGCTAACACTGAGCACATGCTCCTGTGGATCCTGATCCCAGGTTTAAAAATGGCTGCTCCACATAGCCGAATGATGATGTTTGTGTTTTTTGGTCTGGATAACTTTGAGTTTACAAGTTAGTGTTTGTCTTTGCGGATGTGCAAATGCATTTGATAGGTCTTTAACGACAGAGTTGATGCCAAACAGCTCACTGTGTGTTTTTCAGTAACAAGGTTTTTAGTTGATTAAATTCAGACACTGATGGATCAGTGACATGTGGAATTAATTTTATATAGTTGGATCAGAAATATCTTTTTGTGATCTGTTGTTTCTTTATCCTTTATTTCTGCAGTTTGAAGTGTTTTTTATGCGATTAGGGGCTTTAAAAACAGACTTGACTCTGGAGTCGAAATCACTACATTGACTCAGGATAACTTTCTGTGAACACATTTGGTCACTGCGTCCATGAATGCAGATTAAACGGTAATTTTGAGATGGACTGAGGAGTCCTGTAGTTTGACTGACCAAAAATGAGCACTCTTTGTTAGAACATCACGCCACAAACACAAAGACAATGTCAACAAAACTGGAACAATGCGAACAACACATATGACTGGACCTTATTCATTTTACCTATACCATTTTAACCTGCCGTTTGGGTCTGCCAGAGATTAACACTTAGTTTTCAAATTATATGTCCTGTAGCGTCAGAAAAATGCCATATAAACATGTTGACAACAAGAAAAACCTGATTTTCATTGGAGTGGGTCTTTAAATCCATCCATCTTACCTGTTTTAAAATCGTTGTCTTTCCACCCTTTTCATTTTTCACCATCAGATTCAGTTTTTACTCACAGCAGATTGTTTACAGCTCCGTATCCCACAGGCTGTGACTAGCATGTGCATTGAAATGCTAATTATTGACACCACAATGTTTAACCACCTATGAATGCCCACACAGGCTGAGAGGAGGAAAAACGCTGCTGTCCAACATGCAAACAGTACAAACCATTAAAATCAGTGGATTTAAAAAAGCCCCCTTCACAGCCTCACAGCCGGCTTGTGACATTTGTGTCAGCAGCTGTGAAAAATGACTCTGACATTTACCATACCTACAGCTTCATGTGCAACAGTGAACACAAACACAGAGAAAAGCGGCAGCATCGTGCACATCATGTATGTTAAAGT